GACAGTCCGGGGCTCCTCCAACTCAGCTCAACATGCTGCGGAGGGGCTGAATAGAGCATGAGGGTGCTTCAGTGTGGGGCTAGCCGGCAGGCAGCCCCAGCACCATAGCAGCCTCATGCCCCAGCCAGCCTCATCAGTGTTTACACATGTGTTGGTGTGGTAAAGAGCTGTGCTGTAGGATAGCACTTGTGAACACAAGCACTAGTACTTGTAAGTACTAATAAATCAATAAACTCTGCTGTAAAATAGTACTTGTAAATACAAGTACTAGTATTTACAAGTACTATCCTACAGCAGAGTTTATCAGGTTTCTTTGGCCTAATAGGGCCACACACATAGACAAGGAGATTTGATGCTGGAGCTAATTAGGCAGCTTCACAGTCAACTTTTCATGTAGATGTGCCCACTGTGAGTGACAATGAGTTTGGTTGCCTGAGGTTCAACATGGAGAGGTCTGGTTTGACACTGGTGGGATGCACAAAGCCACCAGAAGACATGATGAATGGGACAAGTTATGCCAGTCTCCAGGACTGAGTGTCTGGTAGGGTACAAAGGAAGCATCCCAAAACCAGGAGTAACTTAGTAATCAATCTGTCTTCCCACGTACAACTTTTCAGCACACTTTTACAAATGAAGTAATTCCACATGCGATCTGTCGAACTCTAGAATAAGGAAGGCTGAGACAATGGATCCCATTGAATCCCATGTGCTTTGGCCCTTAAAGAACAACACAGACCCCACCCCTGCACAAAAGTGTTTGACATCTCCCAAACTGGAGATTGCAGTTTGCTAAGTGACACTCATGCAATGGGTTAAACTAAAGCCTGAGTTTGCTTTACTTTCTTGGCATCACTGTGTACCTTGTATTCAGTTCCAACTGCAGTTGTTATCAATAACGTTCCTTGTGAGCTTGGGCATGTAGCTATTGAAACAGTTGCAAGGCTAAAAGCAGGACAAAAAATATGATGCATGACAAAGTACTAAAATGGGAAAATCTCATTGTCACATTAATTATCTATTGACAGAAGATATACAGTAGGCGATGCAACTGCGTTGGATGTTCTTGTCTTTATTACCTCTTGGGGGAGAAGTTCAAGTCACAAAATGAGTTTGGTTCTCTCAAGTGGACATTTGTTCTCATCACAAAACAACCTCATAATTCAGAGCGATGTAGCAAAATTGGAAAGCTCAACTCAAGGAGGCTCAGAACCAGGAGCATAGGGGAGCTATAAATCAGGATAGAGGTGCAGGGCAGTGCTGCACGGGGTGACATTCACAGCAGCCATGAGGAATGCCATCTCCATTGCAAATCATTGCCAAGCAGACATCCCAAGGAGTCCCAGGCACTCAAAGACACTGTACAGCAAGAAAGCTCAACAAATTTGATTGGACAAAACTAAAATGCAACCAATGCAAGTGAGGGCAGAGATTCATTTAACTGAATGACACACAAGGAGGCCCAGATGACTCTAGGGGTAAGAAGAGATTCACCTGCTGTTTAAGGGTGCAAGTCCAGTCCCAACTGGTCTATACCCACAGCTTCTGCAAACGTTAGATACTTCATTTGAAATGAATTCCTGCTCCGCAGCTCAGTTTGTAATGGACCTCTAAATATCATCTCTGGAAATGGTAGTGCTTTTATTCTCTCTGCAGAACCAGAGGATCAAATTGCAATGGTCTTCCTCATAATGAATAGTGCATTGTACTGTGAGAGGGATGCAGCAGCAGACAGGTCAAGGCGTCTTGCTAGGCTTCTAAAGGTATGCGTTCAAGTCCCTCTCTGTTCTTATGCCAAAGTCTTTTCTCAGCTAAAAATAGGCGTTCAGGATGGAGTCAAAGGCATCCGGACATAATGCCATCTATGCCATTGCCTTCCAGGACTTTGGCCACAAAACCCGATGTGCCTTAACCACAGCAGCCCAATGGGCTGTTAGACTCAAATGGAGCTGTCTCCTCTAGAGCTGGAAGAGCTCCACCAAAGAACAAGGGGTAAAGTTCTCCTCATTTGTAAAGATATCATGGTCTGAGCCGTGTAAATTGTAACCCTCTCTATTTCAGATCTTTTGGAGGGGGGAGACGGGGTGCTACATTAGGTGACAACATCCACTTTGGGGCTGCTTCCCCTCTTGAAAATTATCTTGAATCTATTCTGCACACCAAGACCCAACTGTGGGACACAACACAATATGTGATACAGGACCAAACAGAGGGATACAAAAAAATAAAAAAGGCAGAATCCAGCAAACAAAATGCTGCCAGCAGTTCTTTCCTCGTGTGCCGGTTTTGCTCGGTTGCTGCCTCAGTATCATAAGTCTTTATTTTTTATGTCAATTATTGTCAATGATAAAAATGACAGGCTGTCTGATCTTGGCACATTATAGGTAATTTGGGGGCCCAAGTCAGTGGCATCCCGCACAAGGAGAGGTTTGATTGTAAGGGCAGAGGGGGGTGAAATGTCATTAGTTAAACATCCCCATGACAGAACACATAAAAGGGAAAACTTAAATTGTGCATATGCTGTGTCTTGTTTTACAGCTGCCCCCAGAGATAATGACTTCATAGCAAGATATACCATGTGATCTGCCAAAGCTGGGGGTGGAGAGTAATTAACAGTCATATATTATGTATTTGCAAAAGACACCATGGATCTGTTTGAAAAGTCATATTATTTTATTTTATTTATTAGCTTGCTTTAATTACACCCCTGGAGGAACCTGAATTATAGTCCGACTGCAATGCAGACTGACAGTGGAGTAAGTTATAGCTGCCATCTTCACGGGACTTTAGGCACCACAGCAAAATAAAATGATCTGTTTCCTTCCTGAAATCTTCTAGACGTGATTAGAGCAGAAGAGAAAGTAGTCGGAGATGGGGAAGTCTTTAGACACAGCACTGCAGATTTTTAATTCTGTCAGCCAGGTCTGACAGCTAAATACACCCTTCTCCTGTGATGGAAACATAATGATTAATTAGGTAAAGCAGCAGCAGTACTTCTCTTGTTCAGTTATGACTTATGCTATTCTCACTGACTATAACCTCCATAAGCTCTGCTCAATTAGCTGAGGTTAAGTATTATGGATTATTGAGAAATCGGATGACCGTAAATCAGGATGACATTCTCATTTTAGAGAAGGATGGTCATGTGTTTCAGGGACACGAGTCAGGTGATCTGTGACTCTTCCCTACTCTGCCACAAACCTGCAGTCTGAAAAGTGTGCAAATTATTTCAAGCCAGATTTCCTGAGTATTTGTCTCAAGATGCAGAAAGAAGTTCAGTGCTATTTTTTTAAAAAAAGCTTCTCAAAAGGTCAGGTGCCAAGCTGTCTATGAACAGTATATCTGCTTTTTTTGGGAGGGGTTTGGTGCGAAATACCTTTAGAAATTTGGCCTATGGGTACTGAAAATATGTTGTTTCAGTGGCCTCAGTAACCCTGAAAATTAGACATTTGGGCCCAGGTCAGAACAAACTTTTTAAGGCACCTTTGCATAAGCTTCCCAATTTAAGCACTGTGCCTCCGGAGGGTGAATCAAAACAGCAGGACTGGGTGCCTAGGACATCTGTACAGTGGTCTCAAGGGTGAGTTAGATCATGCTGGTGATGAACACGGAGACTTGCTGGTGTGTGAGAGCTAACGTCACCTCCTTAAAGCTAAGTCATCTCCTTTCAACTTCCAATCTCTTGGGGTACAGAGCATTCAGAGGGTTATGGAGGGGGAAGAACCTCTTCAAAGCCAAGTGGAGACACATGCCTAACCAAAGCCATCATTGAGTTTAGTATAAAGCACAACATTCTCTATGCTCAATCTCAAACCCCGCTGGTAGTGCCTCCTACCTTTGCCCATTATCCTAGTAGCTAAAGCACTGACCCAAGGAGCATGATACCCGGGTTTCAGATCCTTCTCAGCTGGGTGGATTCCAATCCACTTCTCTCACTTCCCAGGAGAATAACCTAATCAGCAGGCCGATGGCTAAGCTGGCTAGTGTTCCCAAAACCCATCCTCTTTCAAATGCCTCACTGTCAAGCCAAGTGTGTAAGATGTGTGTAAGATTCATGGAGTGAGAAGAAGGGTCAGAGGGATCCTGCCATTGTAGCCAGGTGAGCCCATCAATGTGCTTGCATCACTGGGTTGCAGAGTCGCTCTCCTTGCTTGGTCTCCTTCTTCTCCACAAATTTTGCCCAGCTTCTGGATGGATGCAATAATCACCGGACAGTGCCCAAACAGCATTTAGCAATGAGCATGCTTGCCTGCTCACAGCATCAAACAGGGCCTGGGGTTGCTCTGTGCCCTCAGGTCAGGGATTTGCATGTGGCTACTGCCCACAGTGACTTGGATCTATGGTTGTACATATACATAATAAGTACAATAATAACAATATGTAGAGCAACTGCTGCTCTAACTGCTGGAGGCAACAAGCAAAACTTCCCCTTCATTTCTAGCGCCAGCTCTTACCTGGTGAATCACGCCCCCGGGGGAGAAACTAGCCTTAAAACAGATTCACAAAGTGAGTTTTGTTTTGTTTTTGTGACGAACTCCAGGGGGTCAAAGCTGGTCATAAGGGGAAAAAAATCACTGAAGCATTCTATTTTAATGGCAAAACCCAGCTGTTGAGGGGGAAATCAGCTTTTTTATTGTCAGTGATGTAACATTTTCATGGCAATAGTGCTGTTTTGATGACAGTTTTCCAGTTTACTCACTCCCTATTCAAATGAAAGAAAAATATGTTGATGAAAATCTGACGAGGATGCATTGATATTAACACGTTGGAAGAAAACGCATACACTCTCCATTCTTTGTGTCATGTAAATCATGATCTTTATTTTTTTTTAATACAATGTATATGTGTTTACTGTAAAATTTATGAATAAAGTTCTTTTAAAAAGAGGAAATTTAAAAGAAATCAAACAAGACTGCGAGCAATTTACTCCACACCTACTTTCAAAAATAAAGGCCTTTCCAACAAGTTGATGAAACAATTCACTTGGATGGTCAAGATGGGTGGACATAGAGCTAATGTACTTCTATAGGGATGTAAAGGGCTGGATTGTGCTCCATGCTATGGGTGGTAGAAAAAGGTATTGCTCCACTGGGAGCTCTAGCAGGTGCCATGTCTCTGGAGCCCAAGTGTCTCCCTTCTCTCTATGGTGTGCAGGGGATGATGCTGCTGGACCGTCCTTTAATAGATGGGACAGAGGACCTCTGTAGCCATCCCGTTGTATTGATGGAGATAAAGAAGAGCCAGGCCCACGACCCCACATCTTTTGGGGTGCTGGACTCGTACAATCCTTGCCACACCTTTCCACTGAGAGAGAGGACTGTGATGCTTCTGAGGTTCTCCATGAAGATGCTTCATACTGGGTCTTGGGTCTTTTCACATGCACCCAGAGGCTGAGCACAATCCAGCCCTTAACCTCTCTATACATATAAAGTTCAAGGTCAGGTCCTATGGTCCTAACTTTGTCCTTATGCCAGCAAAACTCCCACAAAAGCCAACTTGTATCTGTTCTTCCCTGGTTAGGGCCCCTTGCATGGACAGAGAGGAAGCAGGTCGTGCTTTCCTTCTTCTAGAGCTGATGGGACTGGTAAGGCCCTGGGTGCTGGTTTGGTTCATTGCAACTGGAGAATAACCAGGGATCTGAGGGCTCATGCAGGGAAAGGTCAAATATTCACTTTGTTGGCTATTCACTTCATATAAGTGAGCCTCCTACACTGGGGAAGAGGAGGTGGTACACTATGTGATTGCTGTGTGGCTCCTTTGGCTGCATGGATACAAAGGGACCATAGGACAACCATGAACTGGGCCTGATGGAAGTTGTTTCTGTGTAATAACTGAATGAAAACAGGAACAAAGGACTCCCGAATTGGGCCCTGGAGATGCTATGTAAATGCTGCCTTTTGGGATTGCTACAGATGACTGTGATCAACTCCTGAGAGGTCGATGGAGGGAAAGTACCATCAGGTTGTGCTTTCTCTTTTCTTCTTCAAGGATCCTTTCAGCTTCCGCCACAGACTATCCTTCCGCTTCATCTTCTTCTCGGCCAGGGACAACGAGGACTCTTTCCTGCGAATTTCCCGCACCAGTCCATGAAAGACATCATCAATAAAGAAGCGCAGGGCAGCTGAAGTTTCAAAGAAGGAGCAGGAGTACTCTCTGGCTAGGCTCATACCTTCTTCAGTTGAGACCTACAAAATAAAAACCAAAGGTTATTAACATTAACAGGCTCACGTGACTTAGGCTTATCCCTTCAGGAACTCTAACCCTGGATGGGCCTAAATCCTCAGTCTACCAGTGAACAGCCAAACATGCTAACAGCTTGTGCCACAAAGACAAGCTCAACCAAGTGGATACGCTGGGTTGATTTCGGGAGTTGTCTGCAGCACTTCTGTGCCTTTCCCTCTCACCACAACTTCTGAGCACTTGGAGATGTTGTTATATCTGTTGACAGATGGGCAAGCGAGGCCCAGAGACAGTCATAATCAAGCCCAAAAAGTTGGTTAAGCCCCTAAACACATAATCATTCTCCTGAAAAGAGGATTATCTGCTCAGGTTGTGCCTAACTCCAAGGGAACTTGAACACCACAAGCTCCTCCACTTGTTTTTAACCTTAAAGTTCCTCATTTGTCAAAATATCAGTAGAGGGGCAAACAGGTTGACCTTGAGTGCCCCTAAGTCTATTTGATGGATCCTGAGTTGTTCCTCTGCCCTCTCCCTTGTGGGTCTTTATGTAATAGATGTTCTCAGTGAATGCCAAACCCACATAGACCAAATCAGGGTCCATGCAAAATTCAGTATGGGCTACCCATTTCTTAAAAGAGGAAGAGGGGTGGAACAGCTGCCCTTTTTGCACGGACATGCTTTGTTACTTTGCCCAGGTGCTTACAGCACTCACATGGGATATGGGAGCCCTGCATTCAATTGTCAACTCTGCTCAAAAACATTCACCTCTCTTCTCTCTTTGAGGGTTGGTGGGCACTGTCTGGAGTGCTTTGCTTGCTGTTCCCCAAGGGTACACTATTTTTGAACTTCTAGCCCATGTGCATGCTCCTTTTTTTCATTTTTTGTCCCCCCAAATCAGTTGATGCTCTTGTTTTCTCTCGCCGCCCCATTGAGTGGCGGCTCAAAGTAACATAGCGAGCACGTGCCCACGTACCCAAGGGCATCAAATAGGCCAATTGATGTGTCAGATGCATTTTGATATGTCTTTGTTCTCCCCACATACTGCACAGGGAGCCTAGTTACGTAACATGGGATTCTGGGTGTTCACAGCAGGGGCCAAATGCCTGATACTTAAGTGTTGTCATGCTTCATTTTCAGACCCCAAGTCCCCTTTTTGGGTCTGTCCCTAAGGAAATTTATTAACATTACAGAAGACGTCTGCAGCAAAGCAAGGGCTTCAAAACAGCTCCCTTAGCTCTTTAACTTCTGAGCCATCTCCCTCCATCGTACTGAGCATTAGGATAGAGGGGTGAACACTCAGATTCCAGAGTGGCCATCTCAGCTTTTTGGGATTTATTTGTATTTAGATATCATGATTTGTGATGATTTATTCAAATAACATTAAATCCATGTGGATAATAAGACAAGAGGACTGTGGGAGGTCCCTGTCAATATCATGCTAAATCCTAGCTTGTGAGAAATATCAATTTTCATTGACTACCTCGGGGCTATGTCTGTTTTTGTTCTTTAGTCCAGCTGCATCCAGCCATTGCTCCATTTAAATTTATTAGGCATATAAACCATAATGCTTCAGGGAAGAAGCTAACCCCTTGCTGTTTACCATTAGGAAGAAAATTCACTTATGATTGGGTTATGACATAATTTCCATTTATTGGAGTTCTTTGCTCTTCCTCCAATACTGAACAATTCAGAAATGGGGCACCAGACTAGACATGGAAATCCTTCAAGGAGGAATTTCAACATGGACATTCTTTATATGCCTATTGCATCCACACAGACATACATCTTTATTTATTGATTTATTTAAGGAAGTGCACACATTCCTATTCATTCATACATTTTACAACCAGAGAGGGCTATTTCCTTTGACCTCCTGCATAAAGCACATCATAGATTTTCCATTCAGTTACCCCTCTATTGAGCTCGGTAATTTGTAATGTGAGTAGGTTCATTTTCAAACTCCACTTTAATGTTAATTCAATTAAAAACACTGTAAAGGTAAGCAGGGCAGTCGTGTGCCAACCTAAATAATACTCAGTGACACAGTGAAAGATTGTTATCGCTTTCCAACTGCTATAATTGCCAACCTTTAGCGAAAGGAGATGGGTAGCAATATGGTCCTTGTTTTTCTCACGGCAGCTGTGTAAGCAAAATGTGCAATTCAATATGTCTATTGGGCACCATTGAGAAATTGATTGTCTGAGCAGAAGACTCTTTTAGTCTATTTTGGACTTTTTAATCATTCTCTTTTCTTGTTATGCCTTGTTCTAGTTGAAGGAAGTTTTTTTTTTTCTTTTTTTCTTTCTTGTTAAAGACACTGCAGTTCTGAGCAAACCATTAAGCAGGGCTATAATTTTACTGAAGGTTTTATACATTTATGCAGACCCAAAACTTTGTTAAAAGAACATTAAGGTTGCAAAGTCAAGCACTCAAAAGTTAAGCAATGTGTGCCCTTATTTGTCTACTCTGACCCCTCCAGTAGCCTTGGGGTGCCCTCTTTCCTGCATGTGTGCATCCTTTGACTCAGGTTCCAGTAAGAACAGAGGATAACTTATCCGTCTATCCTCATTTTTCCTCCCAAAACTATAGCAGCTGCCACCGGCTCCACAACAATGGTAGGAAATCATCTATTCAGTTTAGTAGAGGCAGTCTTAGTCTGTTGGAACAATGGATGGTGGCAGTAGGGGAGTGGGGGGGACTTACAGGATATGTTCCTAACTCTCATGGGTGCCCCCTTTGATTGATTAGTCCATGATGGATTTCCAGACAAGAATCCAGTTATATTAAAGGATTGAAACCCATGGGAGAGTAAAGAAGCAAGCATGGGCATTGAACTGAAAGGAGGTATTGCTGGAGGGCTAGCACAGGCTCCCTGAGATTGATACCAGTTTTACTGGAAATCTGTAGGAATCTTTCCATTGAAATCTGGGAGTCATGGAGGCAGACTGAGCTGCAAGCCTGAACAGCTGAAAAGCAGGTTGAAGTGCTGAGGGTTGGCTATGAAGCCTGGGAATGCGCTGGGTAGAGTTGGGGGAACAGGCCTTCCCCTGCCTCTCAACTCACAAAAAAAATGGCCCTGTGAGTCCAACTGGGATTGCATGAGTAGCCAGCTGCAGGTGGGAAACACATAAAGAAGCCTATAGACCCCCTTTTCAGTCTTGTAAAGCATCCAGTTGAGGAAACAGTGCAAAAGGCAGTAAACTGAACTGGGGCATGTTCCATCTCCAAATACTTCAGGCAGCTGGGATGCAGCACAACCTCATTAGGAAAGGAAATATTTACTGGCTCCAAATGGCATTTTACAGCATTAAAATTCTGTTTGTGGCTTTTGCAAACCTCCCCTGGAAAATTACAAGTGAGATTAAATGGAGCGCTGACAGCATGCGGAGGCAGTGATGGATGAGCTGCCATCTTTAAGACAGCCAGCTCCGCACTGAGGTCAGCTCCTGCACAACCGAAAGGACAATGCAAAACGCCAAGGCTGGGAGGTGCTGGCAATCATTCTCCCCATCGGATGAAGAACACAACGGAGTCTGTACTTCAGGGGGAGAGACTAAACAAAGAAAACACATTATTTTTTTTTCTACCTGTGCCCTTGGATTGTCATCAGCCAAGACATCTCCTTCAGGATCAGACTGTGCTGCTTTTAACTTGGTGTCAGTGTTTGGTGGAGTAGCGGCAGTCACAACTCCAAGTGTGCTTTCTTCGGAGAGTTAGCACTAACAAAAGCAGCTACATTATTTTGGCAGGGTTGGAGGGGGTCTCTGAACAGGACAGCAATAAACTGCACCCGCTCCCCTCTCCTGCGGACCTTGCACCTGCAGCAGTGGCAATCGGTGCAGTCTGACGGAGACAGCCCCTGTTACTGTCCGCCACTCATTAGGGGGTCCAGGTTGCCATGGGGAGCTCGTGCAGACCACAGGTGGAATGATAATAGTTACAAGGATTCTTCTAAACATTTCTTACTTCGCTTTCCGGCTGAGCCGCCCTCATTAGCTTTGCAACGGGAAACTGAGTAGCGATTACAGACCTGAGACTCTCGTTTTGAACCCATCTGACAGTAGTTGCTGCAGGATGTATTGGGCCTCGATGGGAAAACTTGAGGACAAAAATGGAATATATCCAAAAAGCCACTAGTTGCAGCACAAAGAGGCCTGTTGGCTTTGCAACTGGTTTTCAGTTGAGGGTCTCTTGACAGAAATAACAGTGAATAATAGGGATTTAATAGTGGTAAGAGGAGGTCAGGGTGGGATTGTCTTTGCCAGCTGCAGTTCTACCCGTGTCAGGGACAGCCGTGACCACACTGAGCTGGTGCCTGGTCTCTGGAGTCCCAGTTGTTCAGACAATTTAGTGCAAGAGGAAATCTGCTCTGGGTTCAGCACGGTTGTGGCTCCATGGTTCACACCAGCAGAGGATCAGGCCTAGTGAAGTCTGAGATGACCCCCTCTGAGCTACCCCTTTGCTTGCTTTCCCCTCTCCCCTGTACTGGGGGAGAAAGGGGAGACAGATGTAGCCTTTATACCAATTTAGATCTGCCCTGCATACTCAGTTGGTTTCAGAGTATGTCCCTGTGTGAACCAAGAGCATTCAGTTTACCTTTGAAATGTTGCTTGGATCCCACAGGTGCGATATAAAACCTGAGCAGAATCAAATATGATAGGAAAATCAATCAATCTTTCTGCCTTTCTAGGACTAGCAGAACTGTCACTGTTTACCTACATAATATTTATGGCCTGGAATATTATAGCAAAGAAAGGAAAGAAAGAAAGCTTTCCACCCCCTGCCATTCTTCCAACATTTACATGTAAAAACTGCCCATCTTATCCCTGCCACTGAACACCAAAATCTCTGCTACCAATGGGAAAACCAAGATCGAAAGGAAATCAGTGCAGTTCAGACTGAAGGCTGTATCATTGTTGGTTCTAGAAATAGCAAAAAACTACAGATTTGGCGCTGGAGTGAAAAAAATCAGAGAGAAAACAAAAATATTGTGTCAGGTTGACCA